TATCTTTTTATACTTTTTTTATCTTACATCTTTTTTTTTTAATCAAAATTTTATAATCTCATTTCTCTAATTTTTTTTTCAAATCAAGCTAATTAAAATCTTTTCTCCCTTCTCCTCCAATTCCCTCTAGCAAACATAAGGTAAGAGAATTCGACCCCAAAAAAAAAAACATAAGGCAAGAGAATGACTATGATTCGCAACGAAACAAAACATAGGCTTCTTCACTGTCGTCAGGCGAGCCTCCCATGAAATAAATGCGTATTTGGCTTCTTCGAATTAGTTTCCACGAGGACAATGAGGATGAGTCTGTGAACTGTATGCATATCATTGTTATCAAGTTTGTCACTTTATCCCTTAGCGACATTTTTTACCTTCCATAACAAAAACATATTTAAAAAAAATAGTTTCTGAGAAAGCCAGCATAAACAACTTATCTCGATCAATTTTATTTACAAATAAAAAATGATTATTCTTAACAATATTTTTGAGTTGCTTTCACGTATAATTAACGTGAAAATTGGGATGTGAAAAATGTTTTTAAGTGAAATAATAGAAACTGATATTCTAATATTTCATCAATGAAAAACTAGACTGTACAAAGGGAAAATCTTCCAGAATGAAAATATTTATACAAGGTTATTGGGCCTCACAGGCCTAAGGCCCAACCCAGTAATTAAATAAGCAGGTAAAATAAAGTTTAACCAACTAAAACAACACCTAAACTTAAACTATAATAATTCTATAGGTTGTTCGTCTAAACGATATTCGGCCGCAACCAATAACTCGACCTCTAAGAAATGAATAAGTGATCCTTATTGTAACTCATCAAGTGGGATATTGATAGGGGTAATTTTCCCACTTGATGACTTACAATAAGGACCACTTATTCTTTCTAAACAATTTCTTGGATGTCAGATGGAGTATTCTAAGTTGATGAAAGTTTAGTTACTGGACATAAATCATGGATTATCTCCAGGTATTAATAAAAGAAACAATTTGAAAATTTTTGGTATATGAAATTAATTAATTAAATTGATTTCCCACTTGATGACTTACAATAAGGACCACTTATTCTTTCTAAACAATTTCTTTGATGTCAGATGGAGTATTCTAAGTTGATGAAAGTTTAGTTACTGGACATAAATCATGGATTATCTTCAGGTATTAATAAAAGAAACAATTTGAAAATTTTTGGTATATAAAATTAATTAATTAAATTGATTATAAAGAATGCAATTAGATCAAGGAAAGCATTTACGGAGAACACAGAAGGTTAGAAAGCTTCCCATCATTTCCACCAATAACTCTTTTTCTTTCAATTATTTGGTATTAAAATATAATAACTTAAAAAGTATCTTTATTAAATAACTTAATTTTAAATTATTTGATGATGCTAATGTAAATATGATTTTTCCATTTTGATACTTAATTTGTTTTTAAACATGATATATTTTTTACATAAAATAACATTCTAGTTATTTAGGTATCTGTTTTTTTTTTTGGGTGGTTTTCTCTCATCTATTCAAACATGAAGAGTGATAACTTTTTTTTTTTCCAATTTTCTTTTTTCCTAACTTTATTTTCATCCCATACAAACGAAGCATAAAGGCTCATTGGCAAGAGGCATCGGTCTTTAAAGGTGTTTTTCATCGACCGATGAGGGTACTTTGAGGAAAAAGAAGTTTGGTTATGCAAAGGGTACTTTTACTCCTAATCTTATTTTTCAAATGTAAATTTACTCATGATTTTTTTAGTGATGAAATTTTACTTTCATAATTTTGCTCATAAAGAGTAAATTGCACCTAAAGATTATGATAAAATTGTACATAAAAAATAAGATCAGACATAGATCTGCATCTTTATCCTTGGGCTTAGCTTTGCAAGACCGGATGAAGGTGGATGGTGAAATGAATAAAAAGTTAAAAATGAAGACGAGCTGAGAATATTTCAGGGAATCAATCCTTTGTGGCCGCCAGGTTGTCCCTGTAATTGCAGTAACTTTCCGCCGCCCTGTCCCACCCACCATTGGCGTAAGCGAACAGTGTTTTATTACTCGTTTTCAGACAACACACACAAAAATGGAAGGTAGCTCCATGCGGAACGCGTGATGGAAGACGACGGATCATGATTAGCTGTAATGAAGGGAGCGCATTCCATACTCAGCGTGGAGTGGTCGTCACACTTTGAGTTATCCATATCAATTTTGGATTATTCAATTTGAATTTGAGTTTTTTTTTATATATTTGAATCAATCTTTTATTTTGATAGATATAGAATTTAATATAAAAATAATTTTATAACTAACACTTTTTAAAAAAATAAATTTATTAATAAGAAGAGTGCATATTAAAAATTTTAAATTTAAACAATTCATATCAGATTTTAAATGATTTAAATTACATTACAGTTGTGAGCACATTATTACGATGAATACTAAATCACAACCCGATGTGATGAGTGATGACCCACGGGCTCCACTCTCATCCTTTTCTCATTTTTTTGGCAGGAGCCCAATTCTCATGCTGGTACAAAAAAGCCAATTTACATCCTTCTTTCTAGATTTATTATAAAATATTATTAAAGTGCAAATTTGTCGTGAAAATTTTTACTTAGAAACATTGGGTTTCCAGTCTGTATCATTGAAAGTATAATATTTAAGATACTACTTTCGATCCTTAATATAAGACCTTATTTGACTTTTATTTTGATTCCAAATATAAGACCCCAATCCATTTTATCTCCCATATTTATGTATTTTTTTTCAAGGTAGTCTTCCTAATAATAGTAGTTCTAGCCAATACACTTGATTAGCAAAGATATTTTAGAAAAGACAATACATATTTATTATAAATAATTAACTTGACTTCTTTCCTTAATCTCCTCAAATTAGTCAGCTAGCTTTTATAATTAGGATTAGAGGTAGTATATTTTTAACTTGTTCATAATGATATACGTCTATAACATTTTTTTATACTAAATATACGTCTATAACATGTCTTTTAGGCTAGGTGTTTGTACAATCGGTCAATAAAGTATTAAAAATAATTTTAAAAACAATATTTGCGACAGCTTTTAGATGGGGTTTTTAAAACTTGGTTTATTGATTCACACCCACGTAATAAGTCATATATGGGTCTATATTAACTAGATTAATAACTGAATTAAATGAGGTCATGAATGATAATGAAGAGTAAACTCTCTAAGAGAAATGTGAAATTTTATCTTTTTTAAAAATAGTCACACAATCAAACCCAACATTTTTTAGCATTGAAAATATGGAAAACAATTTTCTCCCTTTAAAAATTGTTAAAAGGAATAACTATTTCAGGATAAACAAAAATCCATAATAATCAAAGCTTAATTAAAATATACTACATGATATAGATATTCATCAATTGAAGGATTTTTTGGGACAATAAACAAAAACTCTCTAACCCAGTACATATACACAAGAAAACTAAAACAATTCAAAGTTTCAAGTATAGTTTTTTTTTTTAAATATAGAAACATACAAGTACACAGAAATTACGCATCCGATGCCTTCATAGTTTAAGAGGGGAGAGAGAGAGAGAGAGAAGAAATTATCTTCTCTCCTCCTTTTCATACAACTCTTTGTCTTATTTAAAAAAGAAAAATACTTAGATCAAATTTCTTATATCCATTATGTCAAATTTTCTAATCATACGTAACCATGTGTTCTAATTTTTTTTATGTGGGATTATGAGTAGATGCTATTAAATGCTAATATTTCAAAAATAGTATACATGGTTAAGTGTGATTTGAGAATATAATGTAATAACTATAAAAAAAAAAAATTTGATCTAAGTACTGTCCTTTAAAAAATAAATTTTAATTCGAAACTGTCTAATATTTGTTATGTTTTGACTTTAATAAATTTCATTTGTTTCGTTGCTTTTAATATCTAATCTTGAATTTTTAATACTCCATTTTAATTAAATCGTGTCAATTGTGCATAATTAGGTTCCAAGTACTTTTTTAGGTTGAAGTGATTAAATTGTGTGAATTTAATTGAATTTTAACTAAATTTGCGTCTCCTATATATCCTTTGAAATAATGACTGCAGCTCATGATATTGTTATGTGTAGGTGAATTGGCGCATTTGTGTCAATTAGACGTTTCAAAGTGGATTTGAGGAGTCAAATTAAAGTGCTTTTCGTAGAATTGCAATTTTAGACTTAGAACAAGTCAGTCTGTGTATTTGTCACTCCAAAACTTAGAAAAATTAATTTGTTCTGAACCAATAACTTGCAGGAGTGAGTAGATAACTGGGAAAAAAGTTAAGAAAGATGGCTAAGAATTATATCTTCTCGTATAGTAAATTAAAAAAGCTATAATAAGGTAAAATGTCACTAAAGTGGGGCATATATACATATATATGACTCAATATTTATTACAAAAAGATTATAAAAATCATAATTTGAAGAAAAAAGCGGTTAAGTAACTATTATATTCTCACATGAAAAATATATTTTTCAGTTTCTTTTGTAATAAAAATAACATTATTTTGGAAAGAATAAAAATATAACAAATTAAATATGATGCAAAGAGAATGACTAGGATTCGAAACCCAAAAAAACATAGGCATCTTCATAGCTTGACGACAAAACTTCGCGATGAAATGTATATTTGACTTCTTTGAATGAAGACTGACGCGTACAGAGGTGATATTTTGTAAGAGTGACGACATCTAGATCATTATGGTCCTTATATGACAACATTACGTCCAATATTACCAAATCGTATTTAGAGGGGTAGTTCGTATCGAATATTACAGTGTCCACAGGGAATAGGAAAGAGACAGAAAGGATACACAAATACATATCATAGGTGGATCTTGAGACGCGTGTACTTGACCTGGGCCCATTTCCTTTGGGAGCATTCCAGCATGTAGCCCTATATAAAGGCATGCATGTTCAGCATCGATCCATCACTAGCTAGCTAGCGTCGCAAACTAGTTAACCAAATGGCTCTCAGAGTTGCATTGTCTCGTCTTGTTTTTGTACTCTCACTCATCAGCATCGCTGCAATGGCTATACCTGTAAGTAATAATTGCTCTCATCATGTGTTGATCCGTTATTGTAAGCTTATGTGTGTTTTTATATGCATGCACGCAGGAGGACTGCGAGTACGAAGTGAGCGTCCAGACAGGAGATGTCCCTAAGGCACAAACGGGCTCCCGCGTTAGCCTCAAGCTAGTGTCCTGTAGCGGCAAAAACTTTACCGTCAACGACCTCCTAGAATGGTTGCAGTCACCCCGTCACACGCCCTACCAGAGGGGACAGCTCGACGTCTTCAAGGGCAATGCCCTTTGCCTCGATCCCTGTGCCATGATCATCACCAACCATGCCGGCCCTGACAAAGTATACTCAGGGTGGTACTTGGAATACGTGGATGTCAAGACCGGTGACAGCACTTCTCCGGTGCATTTCCCGGTGTACCGGTGGCTGGCTAATGACGTACCGCCCAATGCGCTCAATGCCACCGTCAACAACTGCAACTGCTCAGATAAGTTGAAGTCCGCTCTCTCTGCTGAGTGAGAGGGAGTGGCCGGTGTTACATAATGTTTGCCATGTGTCTCGTACTCGTTTCATTAATATTAATAATTATTACTTCTCTCGGCTTATTTATGACCATAGATAGGCCCTGAGATAGCAATACGTATTTGGCTTTTGCTGGTGTTCTTGTGTGTTACGTAATGATATGTCTCCTCTCAATATTGATAATTGTTACCTCCTGCGGCTTATATGTAATATATAAATAAATAAATAGGCCATGAGGTAGCAATATGCATATGTATGTATCTGGCTTTTGTTGGTGCACTACTGTGTAATATGTGTGTTAATACATGTTTGTTATAATTTACTATAATTTTATATCCCGATCTTGAAGTCTCATAGACTTTTTCCTTTTCAATTTTTATTGTTAATTTTGTCTTGTTTAAGGAAATTACAAAGAAATGAAAAACAGAATAAAGGACGACGTTTTTGTTTTAAAATACAAATTCTCAGCCGCGACCAAACAAACAACCACATTCCTTCACCTTCACCCTGTCGCAACAAGAAGGCATATGTCCTTCGAAGTTTCTCATCAATTAAACTATAGTCAAATTATACTGAGAATATTTCGAAAGGTTCATAATATCATGATTATGTTAAAATAGAAACAGAACACAATTAAGTAACTATCATATTATCATAAAAAAAATATTTTTCTTCTTTTTAATAATTAACTATCACACACGTGGGTTTGAAGCATATACATATATGATGCTTATGTCCATGACCCTGCTGGCAAAAGCATAATAAACACAACAAAGGGAGTATGGTTCTGGTCTTGAAAATTTGAAGGTAACTCCCAAAGTAAGGAAACCACCAAAATGCATATAACTGAAATAGAACAGAAGTTTAGCTTAAGATCTAGAACAGATTTATCCGAAACGAGAGGTTCTAAATTTGCCCTATATGCACCAATTCTGTGATTAATTACACCGACGTTAATTATTCCATTTCTTTTGGGTTTTGAAGGCATTCTAAAATGTTTTCAACAAAGCTTTTTATTTACTTTGATTTACACTTGCACCGTACTTGTTGTTTATTTCGTTACCTTGATATTTATCCAAACAAACCATTTTTTAATAACCCAATGATGCTTAATTTGTACTGTGGTTTTTAGTGTAAGAATTAATTAACTAATTTGAGTAGGTTAAGAATGTTAGTTAAATTAGTTAATATGATTTTTTTTTCTAAAACACCCTAATCATCTTTGTAGCACCCCAAATTTTTTGACATAGGAAAAGTAGAAAAAAGAAAATTTATTTAAAATTATTTAGAGCTTAAATAAATTTGAAAAATATGAAATATTAATTTTGAAGATATAGAAATATTTTGGAAAATTTTATTTCTCAAAAAATGGCTTAAATACTTTTAAAATTACTTTTTGGGGCAAAAACGGCCCTTTTTCATAGAAAATTTAAGGAAAAATAGCTAGAGGTTTATTTTTGAGCTGAAAATTTTAGGATAATTTTTAATAAGTAAAATAAGCTAATTAAGGATTAATCTCCGAAATTTTCTTGTTAATTGAATACCGATTAGAGAGGGGTGAAATTATAAATTCACTACTCCAAAGTGCAAAAAGAATTTGGGCCAAGCTAAGCCCAATTTATTGAGCAGGGGATGTGCTCCGCCTGAGTCAAGTGGGGGGAGAATCAGGAAATATGAGAAAAAGCTTTAAAAATGAGTTTAATCGATGGTGGGACCCACAAGGCGAGTAGAGTAATCTTCCCAAGCTTTATTTAACCGTCACTCACGCCTAACAATCCTCATTTGTACTAGCTGAACTATTTTTAGAGTGAGAGAGGGAGAGGAATCGTGAAGGAAGAGGAAGTAAAGAAGGAAGAAGAAAAGGGGGAAGAACAAGTGATTTTCTACATGCAAGATCCCTTCTAGTCTAAGTGTATAGAACACTAATCTACCTTTATCCTCTCGGGGTCATTTACGAGTTGATGATGGCTGAAAGTTGGAGTTTAGTGAGAGAAAATTAAGAACAAAAGAAGTAACCATAGATTGAAGCTTACATAAATAATACTCCTTTGGTCCTTAATATAGGACTTAATTGTTGAGTTGATCTTAGTCCTAGATATAAGACATATTTATCACATTTATCAATTTTTTTAAAATTATTCGTACTGATACTCTCTCAACCATAATCAAGTAGGACATGAAGGGAGGATATTAAGAAAGATAATTATGGTATTTAAAAAAATATCATATTTCTTATAATTAACTAGCTTATCTAAATTTCTTAATATAATCAAATTATTTAAATAAGTTTTATATTAAGGACCAGGAGTATATAGGTTGTATTATGAGTGTCATAGTTTGCATGTTGGTTTTGGCTAAAGGAATGGTGACCTTTAAATTGTAAATAATTTTAGAAAAGGGAGGTGCTGTTCGAAAATTTTAAAGGAGTTAAGAGTGTTTTTATATTACTAAGAAAGGAAGTCAAAATATTATTGTGTGTATACGGTGAGTCAAGGCGTGATTTAAGCATATGTACATGGAAGTGATGGAGTTGTGAGATTAGGCAAATGTGCTGTTTGATACATCCCTGTGTTAAATAATCATCTTAGCTATTTAAATTATTAGAGACTTTAAAATGAAGGTTTAAATATTGCTCGTGAAGCTGAAAATTTTCGGAATAGTTGAAGTGAAGTTGTCCGAATTTTTGACGGGTATAATGGCACCTGGGAGTATTACATAGGATTGGTATAAAGTGCAGAGATGGATGGAGTGGAATCTGAAATTGAAAGAATAATTGTGAACATAGGTAATTCCAGAATTAAGCACTAAGCTGTCCAAAGTTTTGAGAGAAGATCAAGTGCTTAAATGGAATCAAAGTTGTGTTGTATAGGTAATGATCTAATATATGCTGTAAGAGGATAAGTGCCAGTGGGCTAAATTTTTGGAAGCTGAAATCTAAGAAAAATGCCCACTACTACCAAAAGGATATTTGATGGCGGTTAAGATGAGCTTTTCATGACGGTTTTGAGAGTAACATCTATGCCATCGATATAAAATGTAGAGGATTTCACGGTGGTTTAAGAACCGTTGTGTAAAGGTTTTTTTTTCTTTAAATTTACCTTTCATTCTATTGATCAGGATGGAATGGGGGAGCAAAGCCCCAAAGGAAGAGGTTTGAGAATCAATCAACCAACAACCTGTTACCAGTCAAAAGTATTCTGATAGAGCAAACGTAGATTCTTTTTCCGCTGTAATAGCACCACTTAGCTTCACCTTCAACCATCAAATTTTAGCCACTAAGATTTAATAAAAATAAAATTAAAGACTCAGATCTGATAAAATTCTTGAATTTCAAACTGTCCAATTTTGACCTACAAAATGAGGGAGAGAGAAATTAGATCTATTCAAGCTTTTAAGTACACAAGCATGTTTAAGCAAGGAGAGAAACAAAAATCGAATCTATTTAAACTTAGAACAAACATCATATTTTTAATAAAAAAAACAACAAAACCACAAAAACTACGAAATCCACAGAAAGAATGGAAGAGAAAGGGCAAAAAGCTCACAAATAAGAATGAAGAGGATGACGCGACGGTGATAGCAATAGCAACAGTAACAGCGATGGTGATGGAAGAACATGGTGGAGATGATAAAAGCAAAAGATAAATGCCGGCAAAGGTAGAAGGAGGGAGAAAATTGGGTGGGAACAGTAATGGGGACTATGAGCTTTGACTATGAAGAGTGAAAACAATTGCGCAATGAACAAGGTTTTAAAATTTTGATACACTTTTTAAGGCGGTTTTTTAACCGCTGTAACAAGAACTTTTCATGGCAGTTTTCTAGATAACCGCCGTGGAAAGTAAAATTTACTTCCCTATAATTATAAAATGCTACCAACATTTTTTTATAATATTTTTCTTGATGACCATCGTAAATTAGTGTCGTGAAAGCTCTTTTCTACAGTAGTGGCACTTTAATATGAAATAGCTGAATTAAATTTCTAAGCTACGCTTGCGATATGTTTAGAGGCTCTTAAGTTATGATTTGAGTAAAGAAGTTGAACTCATGAATTTTTCTTTTACCTATCCTGTTTTGGCTAACTTGTTTAAGCAAGTTAGAGTGGAGCTTTCGTAAATCTAATAGTCCCAACGGCTTTGAAAGGCAAAGTTTTGTGGACCTAGGAAGGGAAATTTTTCCAATTGAAAAAGTGATGATAACTCACTGTTTTGGGACTTTTCTAAATCAGGTTTGAAAGCAATAGGATAATGATTTAATCAAATGTTTGAATGTGGGGAAATTAATAATTTTAGATTGAGAGTAGGATTAGTTGAAGCATTATGGGGTATTAAGTAATAGTTAGGAAAGTGAATGGCAGCTGGAATTTGATTTGGTTTTGCTGATTCATGATTATGAACTATAAGTCATTTTTTAAAGGTATTAGAGATCACTGAGGGTTGAATTGTGAATGTTGAAGTATGTTTATAAATCTAGAACATATTTCTAGATTAAGAGGGTGTTTAGATAGAATCAAAATCATGATTTTAAAAGTACTTTTACAGTATATGAAGTAAATATCTGGAGGAGTTTATCTCGATTTGAGAAAAAATGCTTTTAAAAAGCACTTTTCATACTTCCCAAGCAAGAGGTATTTGGATGAAACAAAGCCATGGTCTGGAGAATAGATTTTGGGGATGTTAGGATGAAATCAAACCATGGTTTAGAGAATAGTTTCTGAAAAATAAATTTTGGAGATGTTTGGATGAAACGAAACCATGGTTTGGAGAATAGCTTCTGGCCCTGTTTGGCAAGCACCCCAAACCATGGTTTGGGGAAAATGCTAGCTAAACAGCCTCTGGAAAATATAAAACCATGGTTTGGGGGCAAACCATGGTTTTGAACCCCCAAACCATGGTTTTATCAGAAGCAACTTTCGTCCGCTTCTGGCTCTAATTGCTGAAGGCTGACGGTGGGCCCTCTTGACATGACCAAAATTAGCCCCAGCTTCAATTATCTCCTCTGGCTTTCTTCCTCTCGCTTTCAGAGTTCCATTCCAGTCGGCACCTTTAGAGTTCCATTCCAGTCAGTCCAAAATAATTGATCTTCCTCTCACTTTCTTCCCCAGTCGATCCACTTTCTCTCCTCTAGAGATGCTTTCTTCCCCGTCGTTCCATTCATTCCCCGTGCACGGTCTTCCTTTCCCCCTTCGCTCTTTCCTCCTTCACAGAACGAGTCGCCGCCCGTGAAGAAGTTGTCGTCCAGCCATGGTTTGAAGGTGTCGATGAGAGAATCGCAGCTCGGCGGAAGAAGATCACAGCTATCAGTTGTGAGTTCCGGCACTTAGGTTCG